GCTTGTACTTCACTGTTTTCACTGAGAACAACGAGATGTAGCAAAACGTGGTGCTATCAGAGCAGTTTTATGCTGTGGTTGTGAAAACAAGTCTGGTGTCAAAATAATGGCCGGTTTAATTGAACAATTGAGTTGACAGATGCGGAAATGGTGAAAAAGTATTTTTTTGGTTTACGAGAGACTGTGGTATTTCCCAGTTTAACAGTATATGTTTTTCTAGGGTGTATCAATATATTGTTGACACATGTATGGGAGGTTGCATTTGAATTCTCTCTTACTTACGTTTTTTCACTTTCTTTCTTCTTTACGCTTCCGGGAACTATTTTTTCAGTATCTTCTTCAGAGCTTCCTTAAAATCAAAAAAAAAAAATTTTTTTTTTTTTGGTGACAATAAACGTAATAAAAAATGCTCTCAAAGGTGATAGCTTTGGTACGTATGAATATGGATATGTATTCAACTATTGTCGTAAATAAATAAATAAACAAGTAAATATATAAGTGAATAAATAAAAGATATATATATATATATATATATATATATATATATATTTGTATATGATATAATCTATATATACATGTATAGATATATATTTATATGTTATTTTATAAAGCCCACGATAGTCGAGAATGCTTTTAACGTTCTCTAAACTTGAGTCAGTTTGGCGTTACAGCGCACTTCTGACTGTTTAGAGTTTTACATCAGAATTTGGAGTAGTTATTTCTGATAGCCAGGCCGTGTTTCTGAGATTTTTGGTTCACATTTACGTTTAAATCCTTTCAGTAAGAATTTTTTTTATACTTTTGGTATTTTGGTGATCAGAAGAAGTGTGCTCGATAATCATGATAAAACGAGCAGTAGTTTTTATCTTGTTTTTCATTTCTGGTCGATTTATTATTCTCGACGTTTGGCCAGCTAGATTATGTTTACCGCTGATCGCAAATGGTAGAAGTTTAGTTGGGCGCTGTACTCAAGATATTGAACCAGGCAAGGCTGTAGTTTGTGGCTTAATATCTTGCGTTTTACGCTTATTTTATACTTTTTTTATTCCTTTTTAGATATTTTTGAAGCGGAGAGGAAGCATTTTGTAACTTTCGTTCGGTTCTGGTCGTAACATATGGAAAAATTTTGCATTTTTCTTGTGTGCATCGAGAGGGTAGAATGTGCTTTTTGAAACGTAGCAACACTCAGTGTTTCAAACAGCCTGCGTAAAAAGTTATTTAAATTTGAAAGATAATTTCTTGGAAATTAAATTATATTAAGTATTATAATAAAACATAACTTTCTTACCTTTCCTGGTTTATTTTTACCTCAAAAACAACAGTGACATCTGTGAAATATAATGCGACTGTTTTAAAAGAATAAAAAAGTTATGAAATTTGGAACACGCAAGTTTGAGAACGACAAGCAACATTAATATCTTTATTGAGTCTAAATTGATCAATTTATTTTGCAACCTTATTCTGATACAGTAATTTTTTTTTGGTTTGCTTGCATAAGTCTTTTTTTGTTAATGCTTATCTTCTTCTAAATTGTCAATTTATTTGAATCAACATTTGCACGATATTCCTTCAAATAACATTTCAAATCTAGTAATATTTAATAAAATAAATTTTTTGCGTAAAAGTGTGAAGAATGTTGTGAACTGTTTTAGCTGTGGTTACTGCTTCTGAAATAATTTATGATTGTCTGAATATTTTTTTTTGTTGGTTTAGCTGTGATACTTCTTATTGAGTTGGTTTTTATGTTTGTTAACGTTTCATTAATTTTGACAAATAATTTTTAACCCTGGTTTCTTCACTTTTTTGTTTTTTACCCGTTTATCGTTAAGTTCTATTTAATTCTTATTTACTTTGTATAATTTCTTTATCTTCTTATACACATGTATAGTCGTTGCTAAAACTAAAAGCTAGTGATGATAACAGAGAAGGAGAAGAATATTTTGTGACTACTGCTTTTATTGGTTGGTCTATTTGGAGATTATTTGGGTAAGGAACTTGTTGGATAATCGAAGGGACAAGGTGGCTGCTCCTGGTAGCAAACTGGGACTAATACAAGTTTAAACTTTAGATTTGCTTTTATCTTGAATTTTTTTACAGCAGTCAGACGTATGACGATGGTTATGCTGTTTGGCTGACTAAAGGTGTGGTAACGATCAATAAAAAACTAAAATTTTGTCTTGAAAATTACAATTAAAAAAAGTTGCTACTGAAACTTATTTATGAAAGCAATTTTCTGCCTGTT